AGGATATAAGTCAGTGATTCTCAGTCAGAATACTATAGCACCTTTGGGTGCCTTGAGATTCTTTTAAGTGTGTTGCAAGGTGTCACACATTGTTAGATTTGTAAACATGAAGCACGATAATCAAGATTCAAGATAAGCTGAGAGATTTCAAATATAAATCTATTTGGGGTCTTTCATATTTGAGGTCTTTCTGAGGTCTTCAGAACAGAAAAACTGCTATATTATTTTTCTGTAGTCAGAGTAAAAACTAAGAGCTGATATTTTTTGCGGGGCGGGGAGGGGGAGCCTCAAGTCTAGCCAGAGATACCAGGAGTCTAAGAAGCTTGAAAAATACTTGTATAATTTATATCATTCTGTTTGACCTTTATCTCCAAAGACAATAGAGCCTAAGGATCAAAGGTTAGTAAAGACAACTGATGCCTACCCGTTTTCAGGGTTTCAGAAAAGAGCAGGTACTGTTTCAGTTAGGAGCCATATAAACCTCCCATTGCTAAAGCTGGCTAAAGGCCTAGGTAGAGACAGACTCTATGGGCACCTACACATGTGCCTGATGCCTACTTATCAAGTCTGCTGGAGCATTTTGGACTATGCTCCAGCAGCCTTGGCATTTCATGTATTCAGCATCTTCAGAATGGCAGCAGGGACACTGTAACTAAAAGTTGTTGAACGAGCAAGCACTGGGCACATGTAGGTATAGAGTCTGTCTCTACCTGGGCCTTTAGCCACTCTAATTAAAGCACCATGCCCTCACCCTAGAGCACTTATAAAGATGCCCTACATGACAAAATCTAGGGCTGGGCTAGGCTAGTTAAGGCAATGGACCCTTGAATTGGATCTGGCTTATGTAATTTGGCCATGTACATAAGAAATAGATGAGGGACTTCTCATATGCTACTGCCATTTCTAGATATCTTTCAGGTTTGCAGATCAGTGGACCAGTTGCTTAATGTCTTACACATCCTGAGTAATTTGCTTCTTACTGAAGGAATAGATCCTTGCATTTCAATGTGACTATGAGGAATAAGGAATGTGTGTAGCATTGGCAGAACTATACATTTAAAACATTGTTTTAAAACACAACACTATCACAATATAATTTCAGTTGTACTGTGACCAAAAGGCATAACATAAAACTGAAGACCATGTTACAAACCTAGGAAAAATTCTGTTTGTAATGACACAAAATGACCTTCAACTGATAACAGCCTACGTAATTTCTGTTCATTACCATAATTCATAATTTTGAAATAATCACTTAGATTATTGTAAATGTATGACTATTTACAACATCAAATTCTAATATATTGAGCTGCACAAGTGGATATATATTGGAGATATATATATAGTTGGCAAACAAATCTTATAAAAATTAGCTAGATCTCATCTGCTAGTATCAATGTGCAGTCTAGTATTTTTCTCTTTCTACACTGTTTGCTAGAGGCATTTTTGGTATGGATATCTTTTCCCTATATGCCCTTATTCAGTTGAACTGTAAAAGTAATAACTGTATTCTCTTCAGGTTTGCTGTCACAAAGAACTTGTTGCCTGCAGTTCATTCTAGTCTAATATAGATATGAAAATATATGAACATCTGCTGAAAAGAATTGAGCTGTTAAGCTTTTTAAAGCAAAAAAGGCATATGTGTATTTAAATTTTATAACCACATAAATATACTTCAAGATAGTTATAAATTCAGTGTTGAATCTACATTGCCATGTAAAATCTTTATATAGATGGATTTTTAATACATGTAGGTAATAATAATATTGCTGAGCATATTTTTTTTTACCTGTTAGCACTTTGAATGGTCACTGGAAATGAACAGTTCAGGTTTTTTAAACAAATAGGGATATATATTGTTTAACTACATGTCCAGATCTATATATGCCTAAATGAACTTGGTTAAGAGGCAATACCTTCTAGGCTCCTTAGATATTTTATAAAGGAAGCATTTTACCTAGATTTTAAACAATGTGATGACAAACATTAATCATGCATAATAAAACACACAATTTTAAAGCTTTTACATTCTAAAAATGTCCTGAATAGTGAGAGGGGACAAAACAAAACAATTTAAAACCCCGTAAGTCAGCACTTAGAAATTAACAGAGGGGAAAATGGAAAATATTGAACACCCTTTCCCATGAATGGCTTATTTCTATACCCACACTTGACATTTAGAAATAAAAATACTATTTTAATATATAAATTGTCAATGGAAGGTCTCTCAGTTTCTCCTAAATGCATAAGGTTTACTTGCCTTTAACATGACAGTCTACACTTCCACAATCTCTGTTATCAAAACTCTGTCTGCTGATTTAGAATTGCACACATTTTATCACAGGTTAAGACAGCAGATGGCTCTCTTGAGTTTTCTTTGGAGTATCTAAAGCTGTAAACAACTACTCTGCATTTCTGAGATACAAGTAGAGAGCTTTTGTTTTTGATCTCTGGAGTAGGAAATGCACCTTCCCTATCCCCTTCCCCTTTCACCCATTACATTTATCCCCCTCCATTTTTGCCTTCCTCTCCTCTCACCTCTCCTCCAAAAATCTCAGGAACCCCCTTGAATTCTATTTTGGGAAAGCAGTAGTGCTGGAAGGCGACTAGATAACGTGATCAGCGGCTGTAGGCTGTGCATCAATGAATATTTTCGAAAGGTCCTTCCAGCAAAGTGAATATGTGCAGTCTCCTACTCAAGGCTTATTATCCTTGTGGCTGAATCCCAGGGCCATTGGAGGTCATTTTTTAACCTTTCTTGCTTCCTGCTTCCCTTTATCTAGACTGCCCCGCTTTCCATGACATGAGCAGCCATGATCCTTTTCCTTTTTTTTGTTCTGTCACCTTCAGCAGCAGGAACAAGGGAAGCGCCCGCGCTCCCCGACTGAAGGCTCGTGTGCGCTGTCCATGGTGCTGAACGCAGCGCCCAGCCCGAGCTGAGCAGGACGGCGCTGGGCAGGGTCACAGTGTCCTTAGAGGGGGGCCGGACAGATAAACCCCATCGGTCTGTGGGTCATCAGGAAAGGGAAGCAGTTTAACATGCAACCTTGGAATAGAGTCTATTATCATTCAATGTGTATGTTGGGGGTCAGGGATAAAGTCGAAGGCAAAACAATCGCGGGGGAAATGGAAGGGAAGAACCTCTAATTGCATTAGCTAGAGAGTAATTGTAGCAGTGGGTGAGGAAATTGCTTGCGCTGTTAGAAAACGTCAGACAGCAAATCCGACGTGAATGTTTGAGCTGAATCTGTTTCTGTCTCCTCGGATATTAAATGTATTATCCAGATCCACTTGAGCGTGTCCTGCTCCAAGTTTGCTCTGGATTTAGCACAGTCTGGGGAAGGGAGAGGCCTGTGGAAACTTTTGCCCTAGAGATAGATACAGTCCTTCCCAGATTAAAGAAAGGGGAGAGATAATGATCGATCGGAGAGAAACGGAAGTACTTAGCCCTGTGGGCTTTATATTGCCAAGTGGCGAGTTTGGCGGAGACTGTTTTCAGCTTCAAATCCTGCTGTTGCTAACGGCCACCTTTTGGGCTGGATGCCAGCTAACGGGAGAAGAGAGGCACTAGGAACATGACCAAGAAAGTTTGGATTAGATCATTTACTAGGGAGGGGAGATGCACAGGCAGGGAAGGCGGCCGGCAAGAGTGCTTAACTACTGCTTCTTTCTCCTTCCTTTGGGTAGAGCAACGCCTTTGTCCTGTCAGATTTGATTCGGGCGGGGGGGGACAGGGACACAGGAGTCTGCTGCAAGGCAAGGAAGAGGACCATGTAGAATGGGGACCCTGTAGCAAGGAAAGGAAGAGGTCCCTCTAGTCACAGGAGGCTGGTGCATGGAAAGGAAGAGGCTGGTCTTAAATCCATGCTACAGAAAAGAGGCTACGGTTTGCCAGATCCACCCTCAGGTCCTTTTTATTTACTTCTTTCTGCCTGTCAGCACCTCAGGGCAGGGGCGTTGGGGTCTCCTCTGCTTGATACAAGCTGTTCGTGCTCAAGCAAGATCACATGAGCGCCTGTTGAGGGGGTGTTGGGGGCAGTAATTTCACTTTGTGACCGCGATCAGTAAACCTACCGCTTCCCCCCTCCCCCATCATCATCCAGAAATCTGTATCAGGTGTATTAGGGGCCCCTAACCCAACAGGCAGCTAAAATACGCATGCACACTCACACTCGGGGGGGTTGTGGGGCCGCATGGAAGTCGTTCTGTGCCATGAAGCCTCAAAGGCTGGAGTTTGTTTTACCTCCTCGATGCAAAGTCTGCCCCTTGCATCGTCTCTCCCCGAGACAGAGCGCGGGCTGGCGGGAGTCGCGGGTTCCCCGCGCGGGGTGGGGCGGGCGGAGGGAGGGAGGGAGGGAGGTGTGCTTCTCTTTTCTGACCCAGCTGTAAGGGAGGAAGCGCTTCCAGGCGG